TATATATATACGCATATTAACTGGTAAGCATCCCACCCTCAAAGTTAAGGTTTTTTGCGTGGGACAGGAAGTCCTTCGAACATCCTTCACGTATAACTTGACAAACAGTAAAGTGCGGTTTTTGAATTCTCTAGTAGTTAATTTTTTACTCGTTTTGAATGATTGGTAATGGCTCAAAATCAAAATTGTTTTTCGTATTTAAAATGATTGCATTATTCTGTGCAAAAAATGAGGATAGAGGGTTATTTGCACGTGTCCTGGTGACATTTTTCATTTATCAAATGTTTAGTCTTACGTTACTGTGGAAACTAAAGAAAAATACTTTATTTAAACGGCGAAAAAAAAAAAAAAAGGAGAACAAAAGTGATATTTCAGCTAAAGATTTGGTAATGCATAAAGGAGTTCACAACCGATAGAGTGCTGCCATCAGGCCTGAATTTGTCGCTGCTATTTTCTGTATAGAGAGCCATTCGTTCAGTGCACTGCAGAAGAGGATCCCGGGATTTTAGATCTAAAAACTATTTTTCTGACCGGGTTGCCCAGATTTTTGTCAACTTCTTAAGGTGGACCAATTCTGCCATTTTATCGAAAAGTGTATTCTTAAAACTTTTTTAATCTCTAGCAGAAGTGCAGGGACTTTTTTTGGGTACTAGTGATGGTTATTTTACGTTTGCAGTGCGGCCAGTTGTTTCACATCGCTCATAAGTTAGCTAGTTAGATGTTCACTGTACAGATTTGTTTTATCTTTAGATCCTGTTGTTCCTTTCACTGTTCTTTTTTCTTGCAGAATACTACTTGTGGAATTCTTATTTTAAAGTTAAGATTATTTAAACTTTTTATTCATTATCAAAGGTGCACACTTTTAATTGGTAAGCGATAGATAAAACAGTTGATTTTCACAGTATTATTTATAAAAGAAAACTAACTAGAGTTTAAGAATGCTAGGATTTGCTTGTAACTATACGGTTACATAATTTTTTCCAGTAATAGGGAAGGACCGGTGGAAGGGAGAGGAGGAAAGAAGCCGAAGGTACCTGTAATCTCAAGTCAAATTCGATGCTCTTTCAGAATTGAGTGAAAGTGATAGCCGTTTTCTTTTTCTTTATTGTTGCTTTGGAGGTGGTCGAATTATTTACGGAAAAAACTTGAGTATCTTTCAAGCCTT